TTTGTCCCACACTCAGCACCTTCTGCCTATAAGTGATGCAACCACTTAGAGAGTTGGTAACTGCTCTAAGTTTCCCTTCACTCATCTATAAGTGTGAATAATAATATGAAGTAGGGTTGTCATCTTAACTCAACACATAGTAGAAACCCATTTGATATCAGCTGATGTTATTGCTATTATCATCCTTGTCACTTCCCTACAACATTAATTTGTGCAGGATGACATTATAAATGTCATGTCCCAGAGGACTATAAACTGATATGAAAATCTGTTAATTTTTTTTGGATGTGAAGTACTTTGGAATGGTATCTGATTTCTTAAACTACTTGAATTAGTTTATGTTCACATAATAGAGAGACTTTGTAGTTTCATGTTCAAAGTTTGACTTGAAGAATCACAAATGCAGAATTTTTTTTAAAAAGTGTGTGTTTGGTTAGAAACAAAACAACAATAACAAAAAAAAAGATGGTAACCAAAATGAAGTTGCCTAAATGATGTCAGTAACTGACATGGTTAGGCTTTGTGCTCCCACCCAACTCTCATCTTGGATTGTAATCCCCAGTTGTTGAGGTAGAAACCTGGCAGGAGGTGACTGGATCATGGAGGAGATTCCCTCCATGCTGTTCTCATGATAGTGAGTGAGTTCTAGTGAGATCTGATGGTTTTATAAGTGTTTAGTATTTCCTCTCCTGCTCACTTGTTCTCTCTGTGGCCGCCCTATGAAGAGGTGCCTTCTGTCATGATTGTAAGTTTCCTGAGGCCTTCCCAGCCATAAGGAACTATGAGTTAATTAAACCTCTTCTTTATACATTACTCAGTCTTGGGCAGTTCTTTATAGCAGTGTAAGAATGGACTAATACAGTAGCCATCTTTGTGAATAAAGAGGACAGGTTTTAAACAAGCACAATTATTGTGAACATCTGAACAAATGCTTTCCTAGTATTTGAACATTTTCTTAAGTATGCACCACCCTCTTGAGATCTTGCTCACGCTGTGAATTTGCTTAAACCTGCTCCTCCCAAATGGTGTCACAGTACCCCTTACTTCCCCAATCACAGCTTCATCATGGTGGGATTTGAATCGATGTGGTTTGCTATTTGCAGCTACAAAGACATCCTGCTGAAAAACATGTAATCTGCCTCTGTGACTCCTATGACTCAGGCTTATTTTTAAGTTACCCTTTGTCTGCTAGGTAATGAGCACTTCGGTTTTTTAATATCATACAAGTTTCATCTAGGAGACTTTTCTTTTTTGATTACTAAAATACTCTCTCTCTATTCCTTCCTCCCACAACATAATGAAACAAAACCTACCATTGTATTACACAATTCAGGATTTCATCATGTCTTGTTTGATGGGAAAGACTGTTTACACAGAGATAAAGCAGCATGCCCTTACAAGATGATTTTATATGAGTAGAATGTAGTTTTATATAACAAAATAGTTTTTTCCCACTTTGTGTGGATTAGCTGTATCAGCTTGTCTAGAAGTCAGGATATTTCATCAGACTTAAAAATTCTGTTAGTGTTTACACGGATCCCGAAATAAACATGCATGTTGGATTTATGGTATATGCATGGCAATCTCTTACATATGCCCATCTGTACATTATGGTGGGAAGAAGCCCAAGTTTGGTGACTCTGTTAAAGGTATTTTGAAATCATTAAGCCTATTAACTCATATTTGAGATAGAAAAAAATTAACAGTTGCCCAAAGTTTCAAATTGTTCCTCTTCTTTTAACATATTAAAGTGCTACACACCTGAACATTTTCTAGTCCCTTCAAACTTAACAAATTTCTAAAAAAAGAGAATTTTCCCAGTTACCCTTTAAAATTTTTTTGTTTTAAGGTTCAGATCTCTATAATAGAGATTTGTGAAATTTATTTTATTCATATACTCCCTAAAAGAATTTTTAAAAACGATGTCCTTACTTGTATAAAGTTGGCATCTAATTTTGTTTTTATTGAAAATTCAAATAGTTACAAAGAATGTACTTTCTGGCATATTGAATGCATTAGGCTGGGCATGGTGGCTCACGTAATCCCAGCATTTAGGTGGATCGCTTGAGTCTAGGAGTTTGAGATCAGCTGGGCAACATGGCAAAATCCTGTCTCTACCAAAAAAAAAAATACAAAAAATTAGCTGGACTTGGTGGCATGTGCCTATATTCCCAGCTACTTGGGAGCTTGGGAGGCTGAGGTGGTAGGATCATTTGAGCCCAGGAGATGAAGGTTGAAGTGAGCCAAGATTGCTCCACTACACTCCTGCCTGGGTAACAGTGAGACCCAGTCTCAAAAAAAAAAAAAGAAAAGAAAAGAAAGTATTGATATTTAAAAAGATAATTATTGTATCAATTTTTAAATGTAGCCAATGGAACAGTTACTTGATATTCTGTTATAATTAACAAGTTATTTAACAGGTGGAAGTTTTACTTCTTCCTTTTGTTCTCTTTGAACTTGTATTTTTATTACACTTCCCTCACAGAATTACAGAATAATATGATTTTTTTTTTTCTGGAAAGCATATTATCAATTGCCCTATTATATTTCTTTGCAACAAAAATATATATACACATTCAAATTAACTGTTTAATTATTTGTGATCCTCAGACTTTTAGTATTAAATTTCTTTTGGTTGACTGACCACTACAAGTCAATTAATGCATAATTGTCCAAAATGACAAAAATATATTATAAATTTATTATGTAATTATTAAATTTAAAAAGTAGCCAGGTGCAGTGGCTTATGCCTATAATCCCAGCACTTTGGGAAGCCCAGGTGGGAGGATCACTTGAGTCCAGGAGTTTGAGACCCTGTCTCTGCAAAAAAAATATGATGAAACCTTGTCTCTGCAAAAAAATACAAAAATTAGTGGGATGTGGTTGCATGCACCTGTGGTCCCAGCTACTTGAGGCTGAGGTGGGATGATCACCTGAGTCTGGGAGGTGGAGTGAGCTGTGATTATGCCACTGCACGTCAGCCTGGGTGGTGGCATGAGACTCTGCCTCAAAAAATCAGTGAAAATTTTGTTGAAAATTTACAATTCTTGGATGAGTGGGCTGTTTTAGTCCATTTTGTATTGCTATAACACAACACGTGAGACTGGATACTTTATAAAGAAATGAGGTCTATTTAGCACATAGTACTACAGGCTGGGAAGTTCAAGATTGGACAGCCACATCTGGTGGCTTGTGGTGAGGGCCTTGTGCTGTGTCAAAACATGGCAGAGAAACGAAAGGGGAACTAGGCATGTGGGAAAAAGGAGAGAGGACAAAGACAAAGTGGTTAGACTCAATTTCTAACAACCTGCTCTCACAAGAACTAATAAAGTCTTAAGAGAACTAATACAGTCTCTCAAGAAAGACATTAATCCATCTTAGTTATCTAATCAGCTTTAGAAAGCACTGCCTCCCATACTGAAGACCAAGCTTCAACATGAGTTTTGATGGGGGATAAACCACATTCAACCACAGAAGTTTATATATATGTATTTTTTTGATAAATATTATTGATTTATAGACTAGTAAATGATTCGGCATAAATTTCATTTCCATTTTTCCTATTTTAGATGTAAATGCTGAGAAAACTTGCTTGCATAAATGAGAACGAATGGAGTTTTGTTATAGCAATACCATTAATTACTTTATTTTTGAGTTATATGGCCCAGATCACACAGTAACCAGTCACCAAAAATTATTGTTTAATGGCCAATCAACTGATGAGTACTAAAATTTTTAATTTTATTGAAAGTCCCAAAATAGTAAACCTCCTTATATCCAAAAAATTATATAAGCCATCAGAATCACTCACTTTTGTCAACACCAACACGAATATTTCGATGGTCCCATTTTCAGTGTCCCAAATGTTTTGTATTCTGTAGATGTACTGTGTAGTAAGACTTGAGTTGGTAAATAACAATACTTTTCTTTGTAAAATGGGAGTAGTTGATTAAGAATGATGACAGCAAAATATTTTTAGATACAGGGCGTTCTCAGGAAGATAGAGTCTGGGCAAATGGACATATAAAGGGTGAAATTTAAAATTTATTTCCTTAAGCAGGGATAATTTTAGGAACTATCTGAGTACCCCTAGGTGTATGTATGTCTATGTTTAGAGATGCTGCGCTACATATGAGTCCCTGGACCATTGTACAAGGCAGCCGGAAGTGGGGTGTAAGGTAAGGAGGTGCTAAGAAAAAGACATAGATACATATACAGAGGGATGAAGAACTCCATTTTCAAACTAAACCATTATTAATATAAGCCCATCCTATAATATACTAAGGGAATAACATATTTCAAATAAGCACAAGTCACACTATCTAAATAACCAGTTAGAAAAATGGTTGACTAACTCTATAATGCTGGAATTATAAATAAATCTACAGCAAGCATCACGGCTCTTCCTTGATCTCATGAGATTTCTAATCATTTATTTCAGAGGGGTTTCTAGCAAGTCAGGCAATACTTTCCCAGCCCAGGAGCTTAAGAGATTGACAGACATCATGTTTTTGTTGTGGATTCAAGAGATTTGGGTAAAAAAGAATGTGATTTCCTTTCAAGCACCTACCTGGAGGGCTCAGGTAACTCCAAAGTCCTTCAAGCATTAGTAAAAGAAATTAGAAGGAGCTGAAAAAGTTATTTCAAAAAGAAAACCACTCATTCTCAGCAAACTGACATAAGAACAGAAAATCAAACACCGCATGTTCTCACTCAGGCGGGTGTTGAACAATGAGAACACATGGACACGGGGAGGGGAGCATCACACACTGGGGTCTGTGAGGGGGAACTAGGGGAGGGGCAATGGGAGGTGCGGAGTAGGGGAGGATTAGCATGGGGAGAAATGCCAGATATAGGTGATGGGGATGGAGGCAGCAAACCACATTGCCATGCATGTACCTATGCAACAATCTTACATGTTCTTCACATGTACCCAAAACCTAAAACACAATAAAAAAAACAATGTATATATATATATAAAAGAAAAGAAAACCACTTACAATGAGTGGACCCCGGTTGTTTTCCCGATATTTGTTCTGGAAGAAAATGTAAACGACAGTGGCGGCCAAAGAGTAGAGGAAGGCGAAGACGGCGACAGTGACGAAGAATTCTGCTGAAGACGAGGAGTCACCAATCAATGCCAGCTTCTGCCGTTCCTTTCCCTCACAGGTGGGCACCTCAAACGTCACCTGATGCAACCTAAATTGCCAGATTTAAGGAGACATTCTTTAAATGCAACGGAGACAAAAATAGATTGCTTGTGTCTATATCTTCTAAAGCAAAATGGGAAGTGATCTGGGAGTTTTAGTGCATGCCTATGTAACATATCATTAAGAAATTCACAGAGATTATAGCTGGAAATCGATAGGCAGGTAATCATCATTAAACTGGTTATCACAACGGCTAGTCACCCTAGGTAGAGGGGAGGAGGGAAGGGGAAAGGGAACCTGAAATTGTGATAAATTAGACTACGACATCCCCCTACTGAAATTCTTCAGTGCTTCCTCTCTTTAACAGGGCTCACCAGGCCTTACCTCAGTGCCCCTAACTGTATCTCCAGCCTCTTCCTTTACTGCTCTGTCCTCCATCACCCTGTTCCGACTACATTGGCATGTGTTCTGTTTCTCAGTTTTGACAAACATGGTCCTGTCTCCAGGTCTTAGTGTTGACTGTTCCCTTTTCCTAAATCACTGTGTCCCCTGACATTTCCCATGGCTGCCTCATCGACATTCAGGCATCGTCTTAACATCTTCTGAGAGATGAGAGCCTCTTCTTGCCATTAATCTAAAGGAGCTCCTTTCCTTTAGGCATTTTCTATCACACCACTCTATTTAATGTCATTCACAGCACTCACTACTAGATAAAGCTGTCTTGGTAATGAATTTGATTACTTGTTTTTTTTTTCAGTCTCCACTATCCACTCAACTGTGAATATCATTTCTCTATGATATTCTTGGTTTTCTTTTTCTCTGTGATCCCAAACAACTGGCATTTTTTTAGGCACTCAGTAAACAGTATTGGATAAATGAATGCACAGTTTTGGTTCTGTAAGATTACTGATAGATGGTAATTTGATTGAACGTTTATAACTTCTATTTTAGTGAATAAACTCTGTCAGGATAGCATTCAGGCTCAATAAATTACTTGATACAGACAAAATAAGATGCTTTGGGCAACACTTTCAGTTCAGTAAATAACATCTAAGGAAGATGTGTTATATCCAATATAGTAGCTCAGGGTGTGAGCTGGAACTATATCGTCAACTATAATATGGCGGCCAAAAGTTTTCTTCAGAAATGACAATTAGGGAGGCACTTGCAAAAAGATATGACTGAGGCTTTTTTGATAATAAAGTGCCACTTGGAAAATTATCCATAAAAGTAACAGTGATGATAAAGCCATTCATGAACCTCATAAATTCCAACTTATGCTTAGGAAGTATTTTTCTTACTAAACAAAACTTAATCCCTTTAAAACAGATTTGTTGGAAGCCAGAGCATTCAGGCAAGTGAAAAAAATAAAAGGCATCCCAATAGGAAAACAAGCCAAACTATCTCTCTTCACTGATGATGTAATTTTCCTTCTAGAAAATTCTAAATCATCTGCTAAAAGGCTACTAAAACTGATAAATGATTTTAGTAAGTTTTCAATATAAAATCAGTGCACAAAAATCAGTAGCATTTCTATACTCCAATAATGTCCAGGCTGAGTCAAATCAAGAGCACAATCCCATTTACAATAGCCACAAAGAAAATGGAAATACCTAGGAATACACCCAAGGAGGTAAAAGATCTCTACAAGGAGAACTATAAAACTTTGCTGAAAGAACTCAGAGATGACACAAACGAATGGAAATATTTCCCATGTTCATGGATTGGAAGAATCAGTATCATTAAAATAGCCCTGTTGCCCAGAGCAACTTATAGATTGAATTCTATTCCTATCAAACTACCAATGTCATTCTTCACAGAATTAGAAAAAACTATTCTAAAATTCAGAACCCCAAAAAGAGCCTGAATAGCCAAAACACTCTTAAGCAAAAAGAACAAAGCTGGAGGCATCACAATATCCAACTTCAAACTATACCATAAGGCTAGAGCAGCCAAAACAGCATGGTACTGGTACAAAACAGACTCAGACTAATTAAACAGAATAAAAAAACTCAGAAATAAAACCACACTTATAACCACCTGATCTTTGACAAGGTTGACACAAACAAGCAATGGAAAAAGAACTTCCTATGCAATAAATGGTGCTGGGATAACTGGCTAGCCATATGAAGAATGAAACTGGACCCTTACCTTTCACTATATATAAAAATTAACTCAAGATGGATTACAGATTTAAATGTAAGACCTCAAACTAAATCCTGGGAGAAAACCTAGGAAATACCCTTCTCGACATTGACCTTGGCAAATAACTTTTGGCTAAGTCCCCAAAAGCAAATGCAACAAAAACAAAAATTGATTGAGACTTAATTAAACTGAAAAGTTTCTGCACAGGAAAAGAAACTATGAAAACAGTAAACAGACAACCTACAGGACAGGAGAAAATATTCACAAATTACGCATCTGACAAAGGTCTAATATCCAGAACCTATGAAGAACTTAAATCAACAAGCAAGAAACAAACAACCCCATTAAAAAATGAGCAAAAGACATAGACACCTCTCAAAAAAAAGCCATGGAAGTGGACAAAAAAAAACATGAAAAAATGCTCATCTTCACTTATCATCAGAGAAATGCAAATCAGAACTACAATAAGCTAACATCTCATACTACTCAGGAAGGCTATTCTTTTAAAGTCAAAACCAACAGATGCTGACAAGGCTGCAGAGACAAGGGAACACTTACGGACTGTTGCTGGGAAAGTGAATTAGTTCAGCCACCACAGAAAGCACTTTGGAGATTTCTCAAAGAACTTAAAACAGAGTTACCATTTGACCCAGCAATCTTATTACTGGGTATATATCCAAAGGAAAATAGATCATCATACTAAAAAGACTCATGCATTTGCATGTTCATGGACATGCTGCTCAAAATAGCAGACATAGAATCAACTTAGGTGCCCATAAATGGTTGATTACATAAAGAAAATGTGGTACCTGTATGCCATGGAATACTATATAGCTATAAAAAGAAAATGAAATTATATCTTTTGCAGTAACATGAATGGAGGTGGAGGCCATAATCCTAAGCAAACTAAGGCAGAGACAGAAAACCAAATATGCATGTTCTTACTTGTTAGTAGGAGCTAAACATGAAGCACACATGGACATACACACGGGAACAACAGACACAGTGGAATACTACAGTGTGGAGGGAAGAGGATATGGGTTGAAAAACTACCTACTGGGTGTTATGCTCACTACCTGGGTGCAATAGTCCCATGTGACACGCCTGCATGTGTACCCCCATATCTAAAATAAAAGTTGCATTAGAAAAAAGGAACCAGATTTGTTGTGCACATCCTCTTCCAATTAAGATAATGATAATAACATAATAATAGCAATGAACATATTGGGGCCTTATGGGCCAGATACTGTGTTTTGTGTACATTATTTAATATCCATAAGGCACTATAACAGAGGCCTTTTATTTCCCTCACCCTCTTTGCAAATGGGAAAAATAAGGCTTAGAAAGATTAAGTAATTCATTCTATGCCACATAGTTAGTAAATGTCAGTCCAGGGATTGAAATCTGCATCTGACTCCAGAGCTTGATTTTTAAACTTCTACATTGACTTGTTTATGTTAAATAATGAGGACATTAGGATGAATTTTTTAAAAAGTGAAGCTCATGGACCACTGGCATTACAATCACTAAGGTCTATGTTAAAAATGTATATTCCTGGGCCCCATCTCAGATCTACTGAATCAAAAGCTCTAGGAGTATGCGTAGCTCACATCTAAAGCAGGAAAATCCAGTCCCCCTAAGTTATTTCTCAAGTCCATTTGGTTTTGCTTGTATATATTGCACTTTCCCACAAAAAGCTTTTTGTCTTAACAAACAAAGGTGTACAGCTCCAACACAATTCAGGACAACGGAAGCATTCATTATGGTTATATTGTAAAGCCCCTTTCCTACCCTTGCCAGTGATACTAGAATGTTCCCTAACAGTTTTGTTTGTTGAAATACTGAAAACTGAAATGGATTTAAAAGGTAATCATGTCAATGATTCTGACACAGGTGATTTTCAGATAATGCACACTTTTCCCCATTATTTTAAAAAATGTGCCATTGACCGTATACACTTTCAACAACTTTATAGCTCACATAATGGCTAGATGCTGGGGCCAGAGTTGGGTATAAAGAGTTGGAATGGTGCCTGTCCATGGTGAACTTAAGTTTAGAGAGAAAAGATGGGTTTTCTGAGAGGAACCCTAGGCTAGTCTGAGGATGGGGTAGCCAAGGTAAGATTTCCTAAGGAAGTGACTTTTAGGTTGCAGCTTTAAAGATAATAGAAGTTACCCAGATCAAAAGTTAAGAAAGAAAGCACAATGAGATACTACTTCAAATCCACTAGGGTGGCTATAAAAAGAAAGATTATAAGATTGGAATAACAAGTGTTGGTAAGAATGTAGAGAAATTGGAACTTTTAAACATTGCTGGTGGGAATGTAAAATGATGCAGCCACTTTGTAAAACAGTCTGGCAGTTATTTGGGTAGTTAAATATAGAGTTATCATATGACTCTACTCCAGCAATTCCACTCCTAGATACATTCCCAAGAGAAATGATAACATTTGTCTACACAAAAACTTGTACAAGAGTGTTCATTGCAGCATTATTCGTAATAGCAAAACAGGAGAAACAGCTGAAATGCCTATTAAGTGATTAATGAATAAATAAGATGTAGTTTATTCATACAACAGAATATTTGTCAATAAAAATATAGTGATACATGCTACATCATGGATGAACCTTGAAAATATTATGCTCAGTGAAAGAAGCTAAAGACCACATATTCTATGATTCTATTTCCATAAAATGTTTATAATAGGTAAATCTATGGAGAAAAAAGCAGGTTAGTGTTTGCTTAGGATGATGGGGGGATGGGAAAATCGGGGATAATGACTAAATGGTGTAGGATGACTTTTTGGGACAGTGACAGTGTTCTAGAATGGACTGTAGTGATAAACACACAATTCTGTGAACACACTAAAAGCCATTGAATTGTACAGTTTAAATGGACAAATTG